CCATGGTGGATATCAGGAGCAAACTCGTTCCTAAAAAAATATATGCAAAAAAGAGAAAAAAAACATGAGAACGAGTTGTGCAGCAACTATCCACGACTGTAACAAGATGATAAACAGTCAAAAAGTGACTGTGCGATAATAGAGCACGAAACTGACAGGCCACTGAGACATTTAGCGGCCCGAGACCTAGCTCTAACACATCTCCAGTGCGCAAACCAACCTTCCAACTTGGAAGGTTCGTGGTTACGTAGGACCGAAGAAGGGAAAATGAGCGAAGCGAAAATTCTGAATATTTACCTTGTTACAGTCGTGGATAGTTGCTGCATAACTCGTTCTCATGTGTTTCTTCTCTTTTTTACATTAATTTTATTACTGGCTCCGTATCCGAGTTTAAGAAAGATATAATAATAATAGTCTGAGGGCGGCCGAGGGATTATATCGGTTGAGCACCTGCTGGAGAGGAAGTACATCCGCCTGTCTAGGTGCCTCCAGGTGCACTCTGACCTGCCGCTGATTGCTGCTCTGCATTCTCATCCCGAAAATCTCCCACCTACAAAGTCGATCATCTCCCGGGCAGCCCCGGCTATGGAGCATTTCAACATCCCGGACATCGGAGGTGAAACAACTGATGTTGTTTAAGTCTGCTATAGTAACCACCACCCAAGGTTCTCTGCGGCAGAAGCCCCTGCATGGTCGTTATTGGCAGCCGAGTGACGGTGTATTGGACATGCCTCTCTCCTTCTTAAAGTCTGCCACATTGCGTCCATCTGCTAAGTCATCTGTATTTGCTGCTCAGGATCAGGTGGTTTATACCAGGAACTACCAGAGGTCAGTCATTGGCGACACTTCCGTGGTTGACGAGTGCCGTTCGTGCGGAGGTCCGGGGGGAGATTGTTGACCATATTCTGGCATGTTTCCCCGTGTTGGCACGGACAGCGAGTTTGTTTCGGGGCCAGCAGAAGCACAATCACCTCTTGCAGCTGCAGTGACTTGTTAACGTCCAAGCCATTTCGTGACTCTGCCCACAATTTGTTCATGGATTCGCTCCAGGCAATATCGCCATTTAACGTCTTTTCTTTTCTCTATTCTCTTTACCAGGCGTGGGCCATCCCCTGGACTATCAAAAACTATCAAAATGGGTGCCTTATATTTTTCTATACAAATAATCTACGTGGAGATAAAAGTTTAATAATAGCTATGAAAAGGATGAATGCCGCAGACATCACCACGCAACATGACAATTTGTTCAAGGTTTGGTTTTGTGTGTTTCCAAAATCGATTTTCACGCTCCGATCATCAGTGGAAATACGGAACTAAAGAGATCAAGGGAAAAAACAAAGGTTAAAAATCCAAAGAAGTGTAACACATGACGGGTAATTTGTGGTAAGTATTACAAAAAGTGAGAACTAAAATAAAGAGTAAGTGTGACAACCGGGCATGAACAGTGAGCGCTTCGCTTTTGCTGCGTCCGGCAGCATGTGAAGTGGTACATGCTGCTTGATACATGCTGCTTGATACGTGCGGTCAGGTGACCTGAGCGCACGTATCAAGCAGCATGTACCACTTCACATGCTGCCGGACGCAGCAAAAGCGAAGCGCCCGAAGCGGGGAAGACCACGCAAGAACCCGCTCCCTCTACCACTGACACAACCAGAGCAAGTCGAACACACGGTCCAGAGGAAGAGTGGTGGATCACTAAGCCAACCGAATGTGCCTTCTCCACCGTTGCCCTTGCCGCCACCGGAGCCACCACCAGTGCCGTTGGTGGCTGGGGTTGGGGAGGAGTCGGCAACAACCACAGTACCGCCAATCACAGAAATTGATCCCATTTCTTCGACAGTATCCGGCTGTGCGGACACCGCAGCACCCTCCGGCGCTTGATCCGTGGGTCCAGAGACCACGGAGGTCGACCGCGAATTATTCAACCGAAATATATGCTAGGAATGGCCAAGGCCCACGCGGAGCATCGAAGGAGACCGGAAGCTGAGGGCAAAACGGAACACAATCTCGGGACGTAGATGAGGTAAGGACAGTGGCACGGGACAGACGTAGGAAGGAGAACATGGATGGTATCAGACGACTGACTGGTGGTGAATATGAGTTGGGTGATGATGCGGCGGATGACGAGGATACAGATGACGACGAGGCGGATGACGGCGAGGATACAGATGACGACGAGGCGGGTGATGACGAGGCGGCGGATGACGACGAGGCGGATGACGATGAGACGGCTGGTGGTGATGGTGATAAAACGGACGAGGAGGAGTCAGGTGGCAGGGAAGGTGATGGAGCTGATGAGGGTGAAATTCGTAAGAAGTCAGCTGTGTACTTGCATTTGTTATCTCGTCCCGATTGTTTGAGTGTTTATGATGATTCCCACTTCTCTGTACTGTGTCGTGCCCGTTATGTCCAGCAGTTGAAGGTCCTTGAAGCTGTTTGTATTCGTACGCATAAGCCCGATTTGTGTAAGCAAAAAGAACATGTTTTAGCACTTAGGTTATTTTCGTGAGTTTGCACCCCGTGTTCATGAGTTGTTTTATATTTTTCTGTTTCTGTTTCAGTCCATCACAGATTACCATTTTCGGAAAACCAAAATATGTAATACTGAACTAGCGTTTTTTTAGACGATCATTGCTTTTTTTGAGTAAATGCCGCTCACATTTCCTGCGTCTTTTGCAGCATACAGGATAGACTCATCACTATAAAGTCCACCACTTCGTGATTTTTATTTGTAGAATACATGACAGGCGTATTCAGTGTTCCTCGCAGGACTGCGAGATGCTGCAGAAGACCAGGTTCGACCTTTCTGGACCGCCATTCACCGACGGTGGGCTACACGATGCTGGAGGAACTAGATTCCAGTGAAAACCCAAGATTCTTTTGCTCCTGGACGCTCCGACGTGTTGTGATATCTGCCAGGTGCGCAGTAACTAGTATTTTCATCGCTATAGCGAGGACGACGCCGATCGGCAAACTCTCGCTCACAGCCATCACCAGCCTCTCAAAACCATCACTTAGCATCCCCCAGAGGTATAGGAGAAAGCCAAAACAGCTCTCAAGAAACAAAAGCTAAGGACGATGGAAAGAGAGCATGTCAAAAAGAAGACGAACAGTATGAAGTTCAAATGGGTTTGAACACTCGTACCACCAACTATACCACTTTCAATAAATCGTGACGCCATTTTGTTTTAACACGCATGCGGTCCATTGCTTTTTTTAGTTCATCATTGCTTTCTAGAGTTGATTATAAATTGAGTCCAGGCAATATCGCCCTTCAATACTGAACTGGCTATTTCGAGTTGATCATGATTTGAGTCTTTGACAAGTCGACTGTCCATCTTCTGGGTTTGAGTGTTAACATGGTAAATGAGTCGACCTGTATTGAGCTTGCGCGCTGACGGGGTGGTCTGTTCTGGGGATGTCCAGTTATGGGGATGGGGCTTTTGGGGGGCGCTGAAGTCAACGGCGCTGTTTTCGGTCGCGCTCATGTGGGGGCATACCTTCTTCAAGTGTGTGTTAGGTACCTCCTCCCGTACCTTTTCTAGCTGGCCTGCATGCACTCGCGTACTCACCTTTTGTCTACTTTTGTTGCGTTGGCCTGGGTAGCTACTTGCGCGCCCATAATTACCATAGCTACCCTGGTCCTTTATCTTGCCGTTCAGACTGGATCTCTTTCTCTTTCTCACTCTTCAATAATCACCATATAGTCGTTTCGTTCGTCTTGGTCTTTTGTCCCGTCTCTAATAAATGTCGTTCCACCAACCTACCTGTTCCCTTCGTAATGTCTGGATAATGTTTCGTCAGTCGTCCTTTTTCGTATTCAACATTGGCGCCCGATTATTGATCGACCCACGACCTTGAGATCATCCCATGCCCAGCCGTCCTCAACCGCCATTCGTCTCGTCTATGTCAACCTCGTCTCGTCCATGTCAGTCTCGTCTCTCCTACGCCAACCTCGTCTCGTCTCTATCAACCTCGTCTCTCCTACGCCAACCTCGTCTCGTCTATGTCAACCTCGTCTCGTTCAAGCCATGCATGTCAGCTACCTTTCTCTCTTTCTTTTTTTTATACGCGTTCCTTCTTCGGCAAATTTATTTTCGTGAATTTTTTTGTATTGTTTGTGCGCGCGTGTGTGGTCATAAAACATTACCAAGTTAGGGGTCCGATCATGGTGAGCCACGCTCTAATTTTTGGATGTTTAGCAAAAGTGTAACTAGGCTGTATAATAGCCGTGCAAAATACTAGTAATTCACCTTCCTCGTCAAACTCCAATAGTAATTACACACTATAAGTGGTACAGGAATGATCTGTAGTGCATTTTTGGTACACACTTTTCTGAAATCCGTGCGCGCGTGCAATATGTGTGTGTGTGTGTGTGTGTGTTTTCTTCTTCAGTCATTTTTTAAAAATCTTTTTCTCTCTTTTTTTCTCTCCGCGAGGACGCGGGATTTTTTTCATGGAGGGGTGGTATTTTAGGTACATGTACCTCCTCCCGTACCTTTTCTAGCTGGCCTGCATGCACTCGCGTACTCACCTTTTGTCTTATTTTGTTCCGTTGGCCTGGGTAGCTACTTGCGCGCCCATAATTGCCATAGCTACCCAGATCCTTTATCTTGCCGTTCAGACTGGATCTCTTTCGCTTTCTCACTCTTCAATAATCACCATATAGTCGTTTCGTTCGTCTTGGTCTTTTGTCCTGTCTCTAATAAATGTCGGTCAACCAACCTACCTGTTCCCGTCGTATAATGTGTCGTCAGTAATCCTTTTTCGTATTCAACAGATGTAATACCTGGTTCACAATATCAAAATTTTACTTCATGTGTCTGTCAAGCAAGCGCTCCTATAAGGCGCTGTCTGGCAAACGGGTTCGTCAACAATGTCGAGGACACATTCAGTTAATTCTATCTAAATCATCGGTTGATATTAATTTTGCTTTTTACAGACACTCTCAGTTAGAAACTTCAACAAAGAAAGGGCACAGCCTTACCAATTGAAGGACTAGGTGCTTGGGTTGTTGGCGGTGCAGTGCTACCTCCCGACCCTGTTGAATCTTCTGTGGTGATTGGGTGCGGATAAAAGGAATAAACGGAAAAGGGAAAGATGCAAAACACGGGTCACCATGTCAAAATTGTAAGTCATGTGTCTGTCTAACAGGCTCTCCATAATGTGCTCTAAGGCAAACGCATCTGTCTACGATGTCGAGAATACAATCAGTTAATTCCATCTAAATCATCGGTTGATATTTTCTCTTTATCCTGAGCTTGTGCACAAACTCCCCTCTCTCCCCAAACAAAACACCACAGACTTGTATTTTGCATATAATAGGTGCTTCGATGAAGAGAATAGACTGGTATATAGACTGGTATATAGACTGGTATATAAACCGGTATTTAAACCGGTATGTATACTGCTTTTTATTTTTAGGATCATACTAGTTCCCCGCAGTCCGCCTTGATGGTTTTTTCGACATCTGCGATGGTCCCAACTTCAGGATCTCATTACGATCAACGATGAAGAACAGAAGGTCGACCTTTTCGATGGCAGCTTGCCATTCACCTCCACGAAGATAAAGCGCAACGTCAGATAAAACCATGCGTAATAGGTAAGTTTTACTGCGGCTTAGCCGTTGGTGTCGTCGATAACGCTGAAATAATCGTGTAGCAGTTGCCTTGTGCTGCACCTGACGTTCGAGGCCGTCCTTCTTTCGCTGTTTTAGCACTCCGTCTGTCAAGCGCATTACTCAACATGTGCGGCTGAAGAGCCCCGCATGCCGCTACTTTGAGGCAATTCTTGGAGAAAAGCGAGCCGTTCTGTGTTTTTGCATGGACATAGAATGCAGATAGCAGGGGCAACGGAACTTCACTACTGACTGTTTTCCAATCGATATTCTCCTTTCCGCGTCCCTGGCAGAGCAGGCGGAACATGCGCAGCAATTCTCTGTGGCACTGCGAGTGTTCTTGGGAACTGCTGCTTGAATAATGGCATCGTGGTGGTCCTCAGTGTAAGAACCAAAGCGACATTTGGGAGTCGATTCAACAGGCTCGAGCTGATTCACTTTACTCTTACTTTGGAAAGGAGACGAACTCTAATGAGCAAACAATAGCAGTTCTTTTACCGATCCCGCGCGGTGAGCTCTGCGCGCAGTAACGGTCACTGTGCGTTCAAACCAAACTAACTTACTTGGCGCATAGCTGTTACCTCCAATGTAACTACTAACCTAGTCACAAAGCGTGTTTCTGATGGTACTGCACTGTATGCACTGTACTTGCAAGTGGTCAAGTGTACTAGTCTTGTACTTGCTCTGCACAAGTTGTTTTCTATGTTTGTTTTGTTTAGCTATATTTAACTTCACCAGAAGCACAGGCAAAATATGCCTTCTCACTAGCCGTATTGCCACAGTCCTCGCAAAGTTATGAAGATAGCGATAATGATAAAAAGGAGGAAGAGGAAAATACACTGATGAGCCAAGCACAAAGATAAGACGGAAACAAATCAAAGAGGGAGTACTACAAGGAACGAATTTGAATTTGATGAGGTGCTTCATGAAAATGATACAACTGATCCAAAGGTTCCAGGGTTGAGAGAATGTTGACAGTTATGAATCTTTGAGATCTTAGGAGAGGGTAAGAGAGTTTAAGATATCGTTTGTAATTGCTTTCTGAAATGCAGAAGGAATTGTGATGGAGTGGACATCAGGCGGCAGGCAGTTCTAGTACACACTACCAATGAACTGAACAGCGGATCGACCGGAATGACCCAGCAAAAACGAGACACGAAGCAGATGTGAAGCCTGACCACGCGTGGCACGACCATTGACCAAATCAAAGAAAGTGCTGAAAAGACTACTGGTCATTTCAGCACCAAGACATCTGTGGGGAAACAATAATAGTGTTTGCTGATATATCTGAGTGAGAGTAAGAAGATCAAGTCGACAGAGAAGAGGGGATGAAGGGGTGGTAGACGGCACCTGGAAAACTCCGGAGTTGAATATCTTGACCAAGCGATCCAACAACTGCAATGTGAGGCAAGGATAGAAAACGATAGAAGCAGAGAAGAGATGGCTGCTGATCATGCTAATGAACCACGACCGTCTGGCTGATAAACTCAGGGAACGACCATGGCGCCAGAGCTGACCAATGGTCTGGGCAGTTCGCTTAGTCACATTGTCCACATGCGGCTTCCATGATTGCTCGCAATCAATGACCACCCCAAGGTACTTAGCAGGAGGGGTAACGTTGAGGGCGTCCTGACCACAGCATACATCAGGCGTGGCAGCTCTCTGTCAACGGGGCTGGATGACCATGACTTGCGTCTTCTTCGCATTGAACAACACGAAGAGCCCCATTACAGCAGGCCAACGTGATACAGAAGTGCGAGCTGCACTGAGCTGTCGGCTCACAGTGTTGAGATCGCTGTCGGAGAACTAATAATAATTATGATGTCACCAGAAAACTCTTGGTGGATGACTTGTTCAGGCAGAATGGCATCTAAGTGGCGTGTGCATAGAACAAACAGCAAGGGACCAAGTACTTGCCCTGTGGCACACCACGGGAACAAAAGCACTGACGACTCAGTGACGAGGAGACCGAGTTTGCAATTCGAACTTCTTGACTTCTTTCAGTCAGATAGCTACAAAACCATTGTAGAGCACTAGATGAGATACCAAGGGAATGCAACTCAGAGATGAGTCGTTCATGCTGCACACGATCAAAGGCTTTACTCATATCTACCATGACGATGCTTATGAAGCGGCGATTTGAGTCTGCAAGCACCCACCTGTTGACGGCAAGTACAAGTGCATCCTGCGTCGAGTGACACTTCCGATACGCAAACTTAGTTTTCGGATGAAGTTCATGCATTGTGAGATATTCTAGGAGCTTCTTTTTCACAAAGTGTTCCAGAATGCGAGATATAAAAGGCAATAAGGATACTGGGTGGTATTTGAGTGGCACTCTAGGGTCTCCTGACTTCTACAAAGGACTAATGCACGACAGAAAGCGGTTGGTGAAAGAAAGACTCATCGAGCCATGGTTGTCGATTAGAACTCCAACCTCTACCTTTGTGGGGGAGAGGGGAGTTCGTATGCAGCTCAGTATAAGCATTATAACCTACTCAGTTGAGTATAATTATGGGAAATATAAACCAATATACAGGTTTACATTTCCCGTATAATCAACTGGTTAGGTTATATTATATACTTACAGATATTGACTCTTAAAAACTTCAAACAAGGAAATGCCAGCTTACCAATTGAAGATGTTTGGGTTGTTGGCGGTGCACTGCTACCGTCCGACGTTGGTGAATTTCCTGTGGTGATTGGTTGCGGATAGAAGGAATAGACGGATAAAAGGGGAAAAATGCAAAACCCGGTTCACCATCTCAAAATTGTACGTCAAGTATCTGTTCAACAGGCTCTCCATAATGCGCTTTAAGGCAAACGCATTTGTCTATACAATGTCGAGAATACATTCAGTTAAAACAATTTTCATGTAAATCATCGGTTGATATTATTTTACTCTTTAGAGACATTGACTTTTAAAAACAATGTCGAGAATACATTCAGTTAAAGCAATTTTCATGTAAATCATCGGTTGATATTATTTTACTCTTTAGAGACATTGACTTTTAAAAACCTCAACAAAGAAAGTGCACGGCCTTACCAATTGAAGTACCAGGTGCTTGGGTTGTTGGCGGTGCAGTGCTACCTCCCGACGTCGGTAAATAGGCTGAGGTGATTGATTACGTATAGAAGGAATAATACGGATAGACGAGAAAAAGATGCACAAGAAAGGATGCAAAACGTGGTTCAGAATGTCAAATATTTACGTCATGTGTTTGTCAAACAAGCACTCCTGTAATTTTAACGTCGATATTTGAATGGCTGGTATCGAGAGGGTTGCTGGAAATCCTTCGGCTTTTAGGCACTTTCCAAAGAAGTTCGTCTGGTTTCGACGAGCCACGATTTTACAATTCGGTGAGCCGCTCGTGACGGGTCGCGCTGCGCATATTTGTTTGAGTTTGATAACGTATTATTCATCACGGGGCGGCACACACGAATGGCGCTTGGTGCTGTAGTTTCTACGAGTCCATAGCTGCCATAGCTTTCCAGAGAGTGTTTTTTTGTGAGAAATGGCGAAAGGAGAGCAGAGATATGACAATATGTGTATTTGTGTAGACTGTGAATTGGCTCTGAAGTTGATTGTTCCAACTAGGAACACACGCTTCTTGCCGAACTTGACATTTGACTGACTCACGACTGCCATCCGGATCACACGAGGAGCACGTCGCACCTTCCTCTCGGCAAACCTGCAAGAAAGCACCACTCCCTGCTCAATACACAGTGTTTCGGGGAATTGGCTCAATCGCGAAAATAATGAGTAGTGAAAGGGCTCTCTGGCAAACGCGTTTGTCTACAACGTCGAGGACACGTTCAGTTATAACACACCAAGGACCTAGAAGTGACGCTATAATGTCCACTAACACCACCAGTTATTTGACCATCAGCTCTCATGCGATAAAATTGCACAAAACTGACCGACAGCACTGACTTTCTACAACTAACTGGCTATCAGCTCAAGGACGTCTTGGGTGTGCACTCAACTGCCTACAGCTTTAAATTGATCATTGGCTCTGCATCCGAGTCCATACATTGCAATTAGTTCAAACTAAATCATTGACTGTCATATTCACATTTCCGTGCACATTTCCTTCACAGATGGACCATATGCACGTGTACTGTTCCGCGGAACACCCTCGCAAATACATAGGTACGGGATTGAGTCAACTTCGCTAATCACGACTGCGGATATAACGACCATTCGATAATAACGACTGAATTTCCATGCCCAGAGCAAAGTCCCATCTAACTGGAGACGTTTCACTTCGCATATCACGACTATCTGAGTAAGGACAATTCGAGAATAGCGACAAGATATTAGTGCCCCGAGGTCAAATTCACTGCTTGATTAACGACTTTACGGGCTTTTGACAGCTATTTCAAGTACCTGTACTTTAGGTCAAGAAGCAGAAGTACCAGAACACATGGCGTTGGATAAAGGCACACATGCAAGAAGATGCAGCCAAGGGGTGGGGGGGGGGGGGGCTTCTTTTTCTTTCTTTAACATTTCTTTCTTTTGTTATTTCACTTCAAAATAGTTGGAGAAGTGCGCGAGCAAATTAGAGCAGCTCCGAGTCAAGCTCGCTTCCTTGCCGTTGAATGTCTCAGCACTCTTTGTCACTCTGGTGCTACCTTGTGCACGTCTGACAGATCAAAATCTGGTTTAGTTGGTGGACTCTAAAGTTGTGTTCCAACTGGCGCGTGGACGCGGCACGCTTGCGGTTCATGCGTGCCCAAACGCGTGCTCAGCCTTTAACAAAAAACAGCAATCCGAGTCGTATTCAACGCTTGAGGCACCTTCGAGTACTAATGTTTTGACCTGGACAGTCAATGTGACTGGCATGTACGCTGATACGCGCCTGTTACGTGCTGAAAATTCCAACATGTCGGAATTTCCATTTCGGTGCGTTCCCGTACGCATGGCGCCCCAAAAGCCAGCAAAATATGCACAAACCCGTGGTTTCACGCGTACACGCGCCAGTTGTGAACACAGCTTAACGCATAACTTGTGCCCCACGGTTTTCCTTGTTTCAATTTCATATTTTCTTTGGCTCACTGTCTGATTACTGACGTCTGTTTTTTACTGTTTTTTTCTACAAAATCCACATATCTCCAGGCACCGGGGTGAATACTTGAGTGTGGTGCTGGGGCCCATTAAGCTCCGCCCACCAGAGGTCTCGGCTTCATAGCTCCATGGACGCACCATTAAAGTACATGCATTATGGGCGTTCTGTATCACTGACGTCATCGATGACGTTCTATCCATTGTAAATTCCATTCCCGATGTAAAAATTCATATAGTTAGCCGATGGCCTGTGGAGGGGTCTTTCTTGGCACTTGTGCCAGTGATGGGATCTTTCTTGGCACGTGTGCCAGTGGTTGTGAGACTTATCCACTTACTCCCACCGTTAGGCGCTACACCTGCCGCTAGGGTTTACCGGGTGTCAGCGGCCGTCGTGAGTTCCCTTTGGGAACGGACACGATAAATTACTTTTTCCTATTTTTATGGCCTGTGACCCCAGATCACGGATGGTCCGCCAGCCATCTCCAAGCGGGCGTATCACGAGCGATGGTCCTCTAGTTCTCCAGCTGACCGCCCTGCTTCAACTCAATGCTCCTTCTCTGTAAGTCGCTTGTCAATCGCGTCGCTAGTGATGTCCGTGGACGGCCGCGTCCACCCTTAGTGTCACCTTCAAAATCGCCCGTCATCGCGATCCATGGTGGTGCGTCTCTGTCCACGAGGAGAATGATTATGTGACCGGTTAGCTGCCATCTCCTTCTGTCGAGGATGTCAGACAGTGGCGCAGTTTTGCACCTCTCATAAAGCTGGGCGTTTGAGTTCTTGGCCGGACAGACAACGACAAGTAGCCGTCGGAGCTGTTTCCGCTGAAACATCTCCAATGACTCTGCCTGAGCTGCCGTGAGCCCCCATGTCGCGCAGTTGTACACCGGAACAAGCGGAACGAGCGAGTTACACAGCCTGATGCGCCTCTGCTCACCTACTTTTTCATGCCGCAGCTACAGATTATACATTCTGCCATAGTACGCACTTGATGCGAGGGTTTTTCTCAGCTCCAAGTCCTCGCTGTCGTGGACGAGGGATCCCAGCTGCCGACTCGGCAGCGGAGTCCGAAGCAGATGTCAGATCCAGAAACTCGGACTTGGTAGGGTGGGAGGTTAGGGTGGGGAACTAAAACAAGCAGCACATACATTTGTTGTTGTGTTTATTTTAATTCGCAAACCAAACGGGCAGATCTGCCCAATGAAAAGGGGGGTAATCCAAAGAGTACTGCACAAGTCGGAGGACAACAGTCATCGGAATACCCTGTGATTGCTGGGGTCCCCCAAGGCAGCATCTTGGGTCCAACCCTGTTTCTGGTTTACGTAAACGACTGTGAGGAAGTAATACCGGATAGTACCTCTCTGGCTGTATACGCAGACGACACGACAGTCTACCAATGCATTGCGGCCACGTGCTACATCGCGGATAGTGCGACCCGGCTTCAGCTTGCCGTGGACTTTATCGACCGATGGGGTGCTGAGTGGAAAATAACTTTCCCAATGCCCCCAATGCCTCTACTTTCTCCGGAGGGTGTCACCACTTCTGACAGCACCTGGCCGTTTACAACGGCTTCATGCGGCCAGCCTTGGAGTACTGCTGCCTGGTCTGGATGTGGTCTCCACTGGCCCGCCTGGACGCAGTACAACGCAGGGCACTAACGCTGATAGGCCCTGGAGTCTCCGTACCAAGCCTGGAGCATAGGCGCAGGGTGGCGGCCCTGAGCTTCCTGTACAAGCTCTTCTTCCTTCCACCTACGAGCCCCTTGAAAGCGATTATGCCCAAGCCACTCCAGCTGGCTGATGAAACCCCCAACACCCGTCTGTCCTCCCAGCGACGCCAGTCACACGACTTTCCCTTGGCATGTAGCCTGCCTCGCCGTTCCCGCTCACCCATGGCCTAGGCTTTCCCTGCTTGAGTGCTGAGCGCATGGAACTCCCTGCCTCGGAGAATCCTCGCACAGCAGCCATACAAGGACGGGATACTGCAGTTCAAGAAGATGGTCCACCATCACCTGTTGTCCCGCAACTGGATGCAAGCAACCGTCGCCTTGTAAACCTGCTACATGAACTTGCTGAACTACAGGCTCTCGTGTACATTTACTCTCTCTTTCTCAATCTAACCACCCCCCCCCCCCCCCACCCGCTCCCCCTGTTCTTTTTTCTTTCCCTCATACTTTCATTACACATTTTATCAGTTGGTCGACGGAGCGCCTGGCCCCCACCACCATGGCTGCTGCATGTTGCTATTGCGTGCACCACATGGCTTTTAGTAAAAACTAAAAGAAACAAAAACAAGATCTTACCAACAGTGGGGAATGAAGGCAATGACGATGTGCCATCGTCCGTAGTTTGTGAATTGCTTGAGGTGGTTCCTAGCGGAGAAATTTGAGAAATATGTAAAAACGCTGTAGGATTCAAAACTTTTGTGCTGAATAGCTGTCGGAAAGGGTTCCGTTCACCTGAACTCTACTTGTGCTGCGTTTAATGAAGTTTGATTCATTTAAGTTTGTTGCTTCAACAGTAAAATGAGCCACTTCAAAGAGGGTCAAACAGGAAACAACAATAACTCGACCCCCTTTCCAAACCTCTGCCCATTTGCCTTCCTGCGCAGAATTCCTAACACGGTCCCTGATGCCCCAGGCAACTGCGGAGGTCGATCTTTACGTCACAGGAGATTTCAATGCTCACTCGTTACGTGGTGGTCACATGACCACACTAGCCCGGCCGGGAGGGAGAAAAAGAAAAGAAGAAATTCTAAGTAAACCGTCGAAACCCACGTACCGCAAGTACCGCGATTGTCAGGCCAAGAATGCATTCAACGCAGACATGATGGCTTGAGGATGGTCCAAAAAGTTACATTTGGCGTACCCATTGTCTTAGTTTTTCTACCAGTCTTCTGGTGCACACAGAACGTAAGTGCAGTCCTGCTCAATGAACTTCTGTTTCAGAATTTCGGACATAATATCGCGCTCATTATAAACAGCATATATTTGCCTGCACAAGTCGCTTCACAAGTATAAAATCAATGATCATTTTCAATGTTAGAAGATCCCCCGATAGGCTATGCCTTTGGGAAATCCTTTAAATAATAAATAATTATATATAAAATATGTATATCATAGTCCAGTCGCCTCACTCAATGTCGTGCTTGTCACCATTTCTCACCCCGCTTATCGCAGTTCTAGGGCTGCAACGCCCGGCGCGTACTGAACGACGTGAATGGAGTTCATTGAGCAGCGCTATAGAAGAGTACTTATGGAACTTCTTCATGCGGTTGAACGGGCACTGAGATGGGGATTCACCGAAAACGCTTAGTTGTTTGTATTGATGAAATATTACTGAAGATGAATCGTTCGAGTTTTGGTAGCACCTTGAATTTATCGACATAATATTATTGTTTTCCCATATCATCTCCCTCCATGGCCATGAACTTCTCCATCAAATTGTGATATCAAAGTCAAAGTAATACTTGATGGTTTCCTCTGAGACCAAAATGCGATAATACTCATAAAAAGGACACACTTCAGGACACACTATAAGACTTGATGGATCAATAAATCGTGGATTATGGAGGTTGTGGTCGCAACTTACCTAGGAGTATGGACAGCGTCAGGATTGCCGCGATCCATCTGGTCCACCCTGCACGCTTTTCTGTGGGGATAAGGCCGGTCATATTGCTGGCACAAGGTTTTCGCCGTGACCCGAATTGGGCACGACCGATGATTACTAAGATTCAGATCTCCCTGAGAAACTGTTCAGTCGAATATTGTCTCTTTTACAAACGTTGATCTCAGGATCTGAAGACGTTGTCTATCCAAATTCTGTGTCTTGTGGTGATGATCACAACTTACCAACGCAGGCCTTCTTCCAGCCGTGAACAAAGTCACGCGTCCAGCAAGACACAGGGCTTAGTGGCTAGGAGGAAGAGTACGAAAACATGTGTTGATACTGGACTGTCTGGACACCTGAGTCGAGTGGTGTGGTGTACACACATGCGGAAGAAAAGGGATGCTCTAGCAATGCATCCTGCAAAGAATGCGTGGGAAACAGGAAACTTGTTTGCATGCGCGACGGCGTACTTCCTGGCTAGGCTGCGTGCAAAGCAAGTACGCTACAGTGCATTTTCAAAATATTATTAAAGACGAGTGGTTTCAAAAATCCGCTATCCCAGCAACTATAAGTTACTACATAAAATCTGTGATCACTTTATGGCAAGTTTATGCACAAAAAATTCTAATTTGGGCGTTTGTTATCCGACGGCTTAAAAATCTATATGAGTGTGCTTGGGGGAAGGACCTGGTCAAAATTACTCCAAAATTCTCAAAAGCTCCAGCCCATTTGAAATAAATTCAAAATGCCATGTGATTTCTTCTATTCTAAATATGCCAGGTGTCAATATAATTGAAATGCACTGTTGTATGGTCATCAATATTTTAACTCGGATACTGAGCCAGTCATCATCATCATCATCTGCGTTGCCGAAAAAATAATAAACGGCTTTATGCAGCTGTGTAAGCAGTAGATGCACAGTGTGACTGCCAGTAATACATGTAAATGTAAAAAAAAACCAGAAGAAAACACATGAGAACGAGTTAAACAGCAACTATCCAAGACTGTAAAAAGATGATAAGCAGTCATAAAGTGCGATAATAGGGCACATAACTGACAGGCTTCTGAGACATTCAGCCACCTGATACCTAGCTCTAACACACCTCCAGTGCGCAAACCAAGAGCCTTCCAACTTGTAAGGTTCAACGTTGTGTAGGACCGAAGAGGCGAAGGCGAGCGCAGTGAAAATGTGCACAATCTAAGTCCCACGACAACAAAGAACGGCGACTGTTACAGGACGATGACATGACCAGTTAATAACAATCATGACAATGCGGTCTAACTACAATTCGAAGCAGCAAAGTAACACGCCACCCAACTTGGATGGGTCAACAATATCAGAGATATAGGACAGGGGAAGCTTCGCGAAAACAAAATGTACAAAACCGGACGTCAATATCCAACGATACTCCTCATGCATGAAAAGCAGGTCAAGGCATGTTGGGAAATCAACCATTTAGGTCAGACCAAACAAGAGATAAACGCATGTGGAACGCTTCACAGGCTGGGCTAATGTGGTCATGTGACCACCACGTAACGCAGTGAGTATTAAAATCTCCTGTGACGTAAAGAAAAGGCCTCCGCAATTGCCTGGAGCATCATGGACTGTGTTAGTAATTCTGTGCAGGAAGTTCTGGGCAGAGGTTTGGCAAGTGGGTCGATATGCACAGCAGACAATGATGGAGTTTCGCGACTGGAGGCTTGGAGAACCAAGTTCCAACCAAACTTCTTCAAAGTTCGCCTGGTCACGGTCGAGGCGATGCAAGACATAAGGGAAGACGCCATTACGCACAAGGTTAGCAACTCCGCCATATCCACGAAGTCCAACATGACCATTTCTGTTCTCTTCGGGAGTACTGAATGACTGCACCGTATGTGTGTGTGTGTCCCAACACACACATAAGCTACTAATAGAGAGGTTCGGCTGCACGTTTTTTGGCCAAAACTCGACGTGTAGACCTGTCACCTGGGTTCGAGGATGAAAAGTACGGTTCTTGGTCAGTACACCGAAAACCATTTCACCTCATTGGCCTCGCTCGTTCTTCATTTCTTTTGTTCATTTGGCTTATGCGAAGACTAGCCATGCTTGCTTGGTGATGTCAACGCGAACAAGCTTATAATAATAATAATAATAATAAATAATAATAATCATAGCCTGTCCGTTGCCCTCCCAGCGGGTATGGCGCAGGTGGGCGTTGACCTTTTCTTTGAACGTCTGCAGTCCTTTCCTTGTTTGGTTGGTTCAGCAGAACGCACTGCGGGAGCTGGTTCCAGACCTCCACAACAGCGTCAGGGAAGGACCGAAGGACATCATTCAGTGCTCTGAGCGGAAGAGTGGAAGTGAGCTGGAACTGGTGTGAGGGATCCTTTTGTGTGCGTCGGCTATGGCGTGATGTGTTGGTCGCTCGGGGTGGAAGAAGGCCTTAGGGTGAGCAGCATGTCTGGGCCAGTTGAAAAGTGGAGCTTGTACAGAAAAGTGGAGCTTGTACAGAAAGCAGAATGCTCCGACCATTCTGCGGGTGTCCAAGCTAGGGAGGTAGGCTCCATCACCGATTAGGTGAAGGCCACGGTGTTGGATGGCAGTGAGGCGAGCCAGAGTGGTGGATGCAGCGCTCATCCACACGAGCATTATACCGTACTCCAAAACCGGGCGGACAAAGCCCTTGCAGATCACTCCACGGCACCTGGAGTCCAGCACTCGCGAGGCTTTCCAGAGGAAGCCGAGACGCTGCGAACCTCGAATAGCCAATTGCCTGATATGAGCTGTGAACGACAGGTGTTGGTCAAACAGCACACCCAGCAGCTTCAGCTGGTCGACTTCCGGAACAACTGTGCCCCGGAATACAATCGGTGCCGACGACTGTGTTGCGATGGTGGGAAATCAGGAGGGACTGAGACATTGTAGGTTTAAACCTAATGTGCCAGGCCATTCCACAATCTGCCAGCGCATTTACAGCAAGCTGGAGTATGGTAACAACTTCGGGTACGGCAGTATGGGTCGATATGCACTTGTACAATGTGGTGTCATCAGCATATGCAGCAAGCTGGGCCCCAGCAGGTAGATGATCCTCAGCATCATTCGTGTAGAGAAGGAATAAAGTCGGGCCCAAGATGCTACCCTGGGGGACGCCTGACATGATGGGGTAAGCAGAGGAGGACTGTCTGCTCACTACAGCCTGGAGCATGTGGTTGGTGAGGTACCTTCTGAGCCAGGCAAGAAGATGTCCCTGGAGCCAGTGTTCGCGAGATGTGCCTTAACCCTAGAATTACCGGAGGCATCTTAATAATTCATTTGCGACTTTCAAAATGGGATTGCTGTTATATGGGGGGAGGGGGGGGGGGGGAAATCTCCCCAAATTTTGTGACTTCTATTTATTTTGTATTTTGTTAAGTTAACTTAATGGCAGTTGGCTGTATCTCCATAATTTGAGTACAGTTCCGAAATGCCAGGGGTGCTACCTAGAACTACCGCGCGGCAACATTTGAGTCCACATACTACAGAGATCAATGAGAGGGCGAAATTGGATTAGAACCCCAGGTGAATAACGTAAAGAGGAATACGTTTGGGAGCAAGGAGATTGGGGACTATGAAGGTGGTGATTTTTACATATGGACATGCTAGTATGCATATTTCACGTGTCGCTATGGTCTATATCGTAATCCTGAATCATGCCGAAACAGACAAATTTGTTCGCCCAAAGTGTGGAAAGTTATCCACTATGTCACTATAATTATCATCTGCAGCATAGAAGGATGTGAAGTGCCAGCCCGGTTATAATATTCTGGGAATGTCCTTTGAGTTTAGGTTGGTCTGGCGGAAGCCATGTTCGGCAGGCGTAGTGTCGCTGTCGATAAAGCATTTCATTTGATTTCAAAACATTCTGGGCAGGAGTTTGGGGATGAATGCGAGGAGAGTGACTGGGTCATTGTGGGCGAGGAATTAGAAATGACCGAAAACAGAGACACATAGTTATATGCTCCAGATGAAGATGAGTGAAGACTGATCTTTCCTGTATTCCACCTGATGATAAGTCGTGATTATTGAAAACTGTGAAGATGTTCAAGATCCAGAAATGTGTGCTACGCCTCAGTATCATTACAATCTTTTAAAATCTTTTACAGTTGCAAAATGTCTTAGAAACAGCAGAGAAGCTGGTAGAGATAAGCAGAAAGCTGTACAACGTTCAGTGAGCTTGACATAAAACGATTACTTTTGGGAATCAAAAATGTGATATCAAGCTGCCACATAAAGTTGGAAAATAGTGCATGACGGAATCATTGCCATTTGTTACATACGCACACCGGTGCGACCTTCAGTACAAATGCTGGTTTCTGCATACATAGATACATGTGGGTGCAGTGAGTGCTGCGTCCCTACAAGGCTACAGCCTAGGTGGTCTAACAGGAAATGTGAATGTCGACGTCTGAAGAAATTATTGAACCGTCTCTGGTGGGTTGACAGCTACACAATAGCTCAGTGTTTTGGAGTATCCCTAGCCTCGAGGGAAGGCCCCTGGCCCACATCCTGGTGGTGGCAGTCAGTTTTATCTTCAGACTTTTCCCGTTTCCATGCCCTCAGCCTATGAATATTCGTACATGTATGAATATTCTACATGAATGAATACTTTCATTGCTATCATGTTAGGCCTTACAGCGTTGTGCCCTGTTGTCGCACTTGCTGACTCTATATTTTCTGGTTACATTGGTGGGCGGTTGGTCATAACTCACAACATGTTGTCCCTTTAAACAACCGTTCACTCAACAGTTGCGCTGGCGGAGGTCAGTCGGAGATTCTGGAGCTCTGGACGCGCTTGTGACTATTTGATTTGTTTGGAGGCTGGAGAAGAAGGAGACCGCGTTGATAACGCTACTCATCTGTTATTATACGGTTTTTTGGTTTTTTTTCTTTACTGGGAACACAGCCCTACAAAGAGACATGTGGAGACACAAAACAAAACAAGACACACGGGATGTGGGGATGACGTGCCCATGTACAGGGAGCAACTCAACCGACCAGAGGGCTTTGTATTAGGTTTTGTTCTTTTTCCTTTGGTCTCTTTGGTTTCTGTTCATTTTCTGGTGTAGATAGATTCTCTCCACTTTCTGGAGTCAGGATTTGCGCACTGCCCATGTGGAGCAAACGTCACATCTCCAACTGTTGTTTCCAACGTCACATCTCCAACTGTTGTTTCCTGTGGCAGCAATGT